GTTCGCATCCAGGCTTTCTTGACTGCACAGCACACTTGATCACACGTAGCTGCTTGTGCCGCAAGCGGTTTCAATCTCGAGCTTTCAAGTCAAGACATGGACACCGAAGCCACGAGACCGACGAAGAAAGCTCGCAGGGATCCAAACTCCTTTGCTGCCGCAGAGAACCCGAGGGGGACGCCAGCGGCAGGCGGTGAGTTGCTAAGCTCTCCGGAAAAGGAAGAACGCCAGCGAGTCCGCCAGGCTGCGGCAGTCTACGAGTGCAGCCTCCGCAATGACTTGAGAAAACTGGAGTTTGCCATGCAGCACGCTGCTCGGGCGTCCAATCTCTGCCCAGAGAAAAGTATGGAGTTGCATAGGGAATCTCTGCAGGCCCGAACTTGCCAGGGAGCTTTGCAGACAGCCTTGAAGCGACTTTTGTTTGGTGCAGATCCACAGGAAGTGGACAAAAGTTTCTCTGTCGTTGTGGACGAGGCACGATAAGATGCTGTACAGCCATCAGGAGCATAGGCCGCATTCGCTGGAAATAGGTTTGGCACTTTCGGTGCCTTTCGTTTGCATCCAACAATTAAATCGCCGAGAGCTTTGCAGTCCCCGCTACTTGGACGAATAATGAGGGCTTTGCTTTTTCTGCCCGCACTCATGTTCCCTGGAGCAGCTCCTGTGTTCGCCGCAGCCTTTTCTGCTCAAGCAAGCCGCCGGAGCTTGGGCAAGGTGATGCCAAAGCGGTCCTTGCTCGAGGCGTCTCTCGTCCGTCAAAGTGCGGCCGCCACATGGCGCACACAGCAACGTCAATCCGGAGAAGAGACTGGACAGCAGAGATCCAGTCGCCCTAGCGGCGCTTTTTGCAGAAAGCTCGCAGTCGCCCAGGCTCCATTTCGGAATTCCTTCTTGCTGCTACAAGCTCCTGCACAGCCTTCGCCTTCGCGAACATGCGACTCCTGCTCCACACAGTGGCCCAGCAGGACTCTACTTTGCAAATGCTTTTGGAAAGGAACCAAGGAACGGCACTTCGTGCTATATGGGGCCAGGATGAGTGCACGGCCGGGAATGTCTTGGCCTCAGAAGCTCGGCAGAAGGTTACATTCCTCTATGTTTCCTTCCAGCAGTATCGCGAAGCCCTCGTCTCGCCCCGCGCATGGATGGCTATATCTTGCTTAGCGCACGAACAAGTTCAGAGAACCAAGGGCGGGATGGCTGCAATCACTGCTGTTTGGCTGCGAGAGTGGGCACGACAAGACCTGCGAACGCCTTTCCAAGTGCATGGCGTGGACGTGTGCATCGAGCTCGCCACATTTCTTGCAGACTTCGAAGCAATGAAAGCGAGTTTCGCTGCTCTCGGGTCCTCGGGCATTCGGCCTTGCTTCCTGTGCGAGAATGTGGTGATGAAAGGAAGTCCCGCACCTGACAGGGACCCTCACTTCTGTTCGATATCTGAATGGGATGTGACAAAGTTCAAATCCATGAAGCATGAGGAGGTGGTGGGCTTCATGGACGACGTCTTCGCCAAGCTTCCCGAACTGAATGCCTCGGCTTTGCAACTTCGAGAACGATGCTCGGGGTTTCACATCCTCCGAGAGAGCTTGTGGGGCTGCCCAACTGGCCGTCACCTGCTGAAACTAGACATGGTCATGAACGACAACATGCATTGCTATTTTGCACAAGGCATCGCCTCGCAGGAGCTGGTGTTGTTTACTTCGGCGGTCTGCGACGCCACGGGCTTTTCCGTTGCGCAGCTGGGCAAAGCCGCTGCCGACGCAGGATGGCTTCGACCGGCTTGCTACCGGAAACATGGTGAGTCCAAGCATTGGCTGGCCAGGCTCTTCAGAGAGTCGCTTTGGAAGGGCAACATGTTCAAAGGCTCGGCCAGCCAGTGCGAGTCTTTGGTACTGCTGATTCGTTGGTATGCGGTGGCACTCCAATGGAACGCAGTGCCGGCCCTTCGCAAGCAATATGAGAGCTTCAAGCAGCTTGCTTTGTGCGCGGATGCTTTGAAGAGCACGTCCCGCACGAAAGCTTGGGATTCCTTGGCCACGGTCCAAAGAGATCACATGCGGTGTTTCCTTGCTGCATACCCGGACGGGCAAGAACGGCCGAAGCACCATCATCGGCTTCACCTTCCAGAACAATATAAGAAACAGGGCTTCCAGTGTGGTTGCTGGGCCACCGAAAGCAAGCACCGGATGTATAAGGGAGACTTGGCACGCCAAGTGCAACATTTCATTCAGTCCAAGACTGGGGGCGTCGAGCTATCCAGGCAGCTACTGCCGAAGCTGTTGCTCCGGCACTGCGGCCTCGCGACGGAAAACCCATTGCTGCTGGATGGGCTTTGGAAGCTGGAGCAGACAGTTTCAGCCCAGCGAGATTGCATTGCAAGCTCCTTTGCTCTCGGGGAATCCGTCGTCGCCAAGCAGCTGCGGGCAGGCATGCTGGACGTCAGCAGAAACGATGTCCTGCTGCACGGGCCGCAGTGGAACATGGCTGTTCTTTGCCACTTCTTTTGCGAGTGTGCAAATGGTTCCCTGAGGATTGGGTGCACTGCTTTAGAGCTCGTGTGGAAAGATGAAACGCAAAGGGTCTTTAAAATGAGTCCACAAGCGATCCTAGTAGCCTGGCAAGACTTGCAGCTGCCAAGATTGCCAACCTGGCATCGGAAAGATGTCGAGGAATTCACTTGCATACTCTGAGCTTTAACTCAGTTGCAAACAGAAAAACTGCCTCCGATGCCAAAAAAAACTTACGAAGTGCTCGCTGAAACCAAGCTTCTGCACATTTCATTGAATTATAATGATTGGATTCATTTTGCAAAAATAATATGAATTTTCAAGCCACAACAAGTTATAACTAAGTTATAACTTAGTTACACAAGATATAGCATAACTTCTCTAACTTAGATATAACTCCCATGCACAACTTGAGTTATAACTATCATAACTAAGTTATAACTAGGGGGCGTCTCCTTGTATATATATATATATATACACATGTGTATATATATATATACGCACAAAACGTGTGTGTTGTGTAAAAATTGTAAACCTGAATATTCATGTAGGTCTGGAAAATATAAACATGAATTTGTGTGTGAAAATCTATCTGTACGTACATACATACATACATACATACATACATGCATACATACATGTACGTTTACGTGTATATATATGGCTACATATATGTATAACTATATCTTTTTAGATATGTACATATATAATATATGTTTACATCTCGTGTATGCGTGTGCTGATTGGATGTGCAATATATATATATATACATATACACACACACTCATACAGACATCTGCATATACATAACCATGTACATGTACATGAATATGTACACACACAAAGCGTCCTTGACACCAAGATCCTGAACCGGGATGGACTCCAAGGGCTCCAATAGTTGCCGCGCCTTTCGGGCTTAGGGCGTTTAAGGTTTGGGGTTTTGGGTTTAGGGTTTAAGGCTTTTCGGGTTTGTAGGACTTCGGGCTTCTAGGGTTTTTAGGGCTTATAGGGTCTATGGGATTTGGGCTTAGGGTTTAGGGGCTTTGGGGCTTTGGGTTTAGGGCTTTAGGGTTGTGGGCTTATTAGGGTGTAGTATCGGTTTAGGGCTCACGGTCTAACAATTAATTAGGGCTTGGTGTAGTGTTCCAGGTGCCTAAAATTCAAGTTGGTTACTCTGTTACGCATTTGCAGCTTACTAACTATTTAGGTAACTGGAGCCGATAGTTAAACCAGTTCGGGTTGCGGGTAAGGTGCAAGGTTGAGCAGTCAGGCATTGTTTTGTGAAACAGCGAGGTCGCCAGTGCCACATGCCTAAACTTACGGGCCCGAACACCCTAAAATGAAAAGCAACACAAAACATGATCCCTAAATCTTACAGCCAGAAAATGTGCAAAACAGGCAGTTGGCGAATGTGGCGTGCTTTCCGGTTTTCAGGGCTTAGGGCTTATTTACTGGATGCGCGGCTGTGTACCATCCGACATTTGATTCTCTGGGTAACCAGACCGAGGTTGGCAGGCCAGCAGGAGGGACACTGCACCCGTGCTACTTACTTACTGCCCTGCAGGGCTCTCTTCTTTCAAGGAACCCTCTAAAAAATATCCTTTACAGCAGCCCTTAAAGGAACCCCTCAACGGCATCTTATAAAGTACTTGAAAAGGAAACCTTAGTGGAGGCCATACAAAGGTACCTGTACCTTTAAAGGAGCCCCTAACGGAACCCCTACAAGCCCCTTTTATACAACCCTAGACTGTAAACCCCCTAAACGCTGAACCCTAAAGTCTTCGCTGAGGGCTCGACAACCGCCACCGCAGAGCCCGAAGCGGCCCGAGCTTCGCTAGCGGCAAAAACACACACCATGCCTGCCGACCTATAAAGTATAAACCCTAAACTTGGGCCGGTCCGAGGGGGGGACCTGGCCCATTTCCATGAAAAGGCGCCGCGCGTGATTTGGGCAGGTTTACGGCTTCGTTTGGGGCCGGTCCGAGCGGGCAACCTGGCCCATTTCCATCAGTGCTTTTGGCAGGTTTACGGCTTCCAGGCGCCCCAGGCTCGCAGATTCCAGGGTTATGGGCCCGGCAGATTTTTCGGTTTGCCAGCGTCCAGGCGGGCGCCCGGGAAAGGTCTGGGGGCCCGCCAGGATAGCCTTAGCCTTACAGAAAGCCCACATGAGAACTCGCCAACACAGCCTCACAGAAAGCCCAATCCAGAAAGGGACAAACTCACCGAAAGCCGGCATGCAGTGCTGCTTGTCTGCC